GGGGGGGGGGGGGGGCAGGGGCTGTCCATAGTATGTAAGGCATGGCAGTGCACTGGTCCCGCTTCCGCTAAACCCCGAACGTGTAGGTCCTAGGAGGGCCCGCTAGGCATGCTCATGTTCCCTCCCTGCTTGCTTACGCCTTGCTTTGCGCCCCTTCTGCTAATGCACCCCCATCCTTTGTCACCTCCCAGCTCTACAGGTCTGTTACAGGTTTCGAATGATAGATAGATGGGGCAACTTCCTTTATTGCTTCCTTAACAACCACCACCGAGATCACTGGCCTACTGATGCGACGCGCATAGGGGGCGTGGGGGCCTGCTTCCTCCTGCAGCCGGCGCTGCAGAGCCAGCTCCAATGCCCTCAAGTTCAGGCGCAGGGCGCGAGTCAGGGCATTTTCGGGCGGCGAGACGGCGCCGGCCGGGGGCACCTCTTCCTCCTCTTCGGCCAGCGGCTCACCGTTGGGGCCGAGGTCCCAACCCTCCTCGTCGGCGTTGGGCGCCCCGGGATCGCTGAACCACCTCCAACGGTTGCGGCACTCCCATTCTAGCCGCGCTCTGGACCAGCCCTTTCGGATACAGGTCGCGTCTGTCTGGTCGACGGGCCCGGCGGCGGGGCGCGGGTCGCCGGCGGCTGCGGCGGCGGCGACGCCCAAGGCCTCCCTGGTGGCCAGGTCCAGGTCCGCGGCGCGTCGCGGCGGGGCGTGTGGCGGACCGGCGGCGGGAGCTGACGGCCCTGCTGACCCCAGGTTGGCAAACTCGGCGACGGCCAGGTTGTTCCCCTGCGCCACGCCCCCTTGGAACGGCGCCGACCCTCCGGATCTGCCGACGGGACCTGCATCATCGGGAGCGAGTACAGGTTAGATCGGGCTGGCGGGATCTTTCATCTGCGTAAACAACACTCACCACGTGGCGCGGTGCTGATCGGCGCAGTAGTTCTTGCGTTGGGACACCGAGCGACGTGAGCCGGGCCTGGGTCGGTGTCTATGGCCCTCCACACGCCGGGCGCCTCTTCCACCTCAAGCTGCACGCCGGCCTCTGTGGGCGCTGCGTCGTCGACGTTGTTGGGACCTGTGCGGACAGGGCGTTAATCTTTTGTCCTTCCCTGGTCTGGCACGGTAGGTGGCACTTACCTTTCCCTTGCGCTCCTCCTGCAGGCACCACCATCCTCCAGCGGTTGTTCATCTCTCTGGTCGCTGATGAAGACTGGGAGTGGACTGTCCGTTCTTCACTGCGCACCGTTGCGAACTGCCGCTGATGCGTCTGCAGCTTGTCACTGCGGCCGGCTGGACCCCTCCCCCCCCCTCC